TTTGCGCGAATTCGGAAACTTCAGCACGAACTGCAAAAACTTGTCACCACGAAGAATCGAACTAGGGACCCCTTTTCTGGTATTCAGAGGGCCGTTCAGGAAAAATGAACCATGCTTCTGTGGTCCCCATATGTGCCCCAATGTCATGCAAGAAACCATTTTGAAAAAGCTTGGCACACCCTGAACGACCTCCCTTGTAAGGTGGCCAATGAGTCGTCTTAGGCACCTTGGAATTAAAAAATTGAATTTTCTGAAATTTAAGAGGACGGACTTATATAACTCAACGACCTGAATCTAGTGGTGTAGGTTTTCGTGGAGAATTGTAAACAGTAATCACGTCATAAAAAGAAGAGGAAACGGTTTCTCGGTTTTTTAACAACATTATGGGGGGAGTAGTGTACGGTCATGCATAAAACTCCTACAAATGACTTCAACACTTTAAAAAAAATTAAACCGATCAAAAGGCTCCAAGGAAAATGGCGGTCGTTACGATCGACTCTCACAAACCTGAGACACCAAGGAAAACCACCTGTAATTTTTTCACTCTGTACATCACTGACTGGATCACTTTCACCATAGTGGATATTTCCAGCCGAGAACTTGAATTTCGAGAGGAAAAAATGCTCATTGCTAGAGCTGAAAAAGCAGGTAGCTGAGAAGTAGTGTGTCTAGTGGTTTGAGAACCGGCCATAAATGGTTGTTATGGAATCGTCAAGGACACTACATACGAAAACCATCTTTAAGGCGCAGTTTATGAATAGAAGGTAGCCCATTAAAATCTAGATAGAGGTGGTCAGTGATGCCGAGATTGAGAAAAAATCCATGAGAAACGGCCCGAAACCCGAGAAATGGGACCCCTTCCTTGCCCGTTGATTCCGCATTGATGCGACTCTCATCGATGCTGCCCTCTTTCTTTCTCCACTAAACTCATAGAGACCTGCGGCGAGTGGTCAAACAGTCGGTGGGCGTGCCGCGGCGATAGCGCAACGAGGGCCATGTTAGGTCGCCAGGGGCATATCTTTCTCTACGAATTGTGGTGTCGTCCGCACCTCAGGCTGTTCGTCTAGTCTATCTTTCCGCTAAGCTAGTTCCCCATCTTTGACCCTATCATGGAATCTTGAGCCCATCCATGAGCTTGGAAGGGGAGAACTCAAACAGTCATGGGAAAGGGTTTTCTTTCTTGCAATAACTAGAACAAGAAAAAGAATAGTGGCTAGCTATCGCAGAGCAAGCTTAATATGCTCGATCCCTTCGCCACGGCAATAAAGATCGGTGATTTAGATGCCGATGTCGACGATGTGGACAGATGATGTAAGTGTAGGCGCTACTGCGACGATACATAGCCGAGCACGGCTCATATGACTCGTCGAGAATGCTTTCAACGCACACTGACATCAAATGTTTTTGAATAGCGTTCAGATTTTATGACGCCACTCAGAACATCATAGTCTGTTTACAACTGCGTAATTTTGCAAGGCTTCTGCAAACTTTTTTCTACATGAAGATTTAAGAACATACTTTCTGGGGGAATTTTCGCCGGGGCGGCCGGTCAGGAGGTCTACGATGTCGCGAGCAGCAAAGAGCGGCGTCGCAAGCGCGGCTCTGCGGACTAACAAGGAGGGTCTTTTAGGATATAGAACGTTTTTTCAAAATGGTTTCCTAGTTTTCGTAGATCTTTGGGCAGAAAATACTGGCCATTGTTTACTGAAAAAGCGCCCCTAGGGTCTCAAAAACAGGGCGAATAAAGTGGTCCAAAAGTTCGATTCTCCGCTCCCTGACCAAATTTTGCAATTTACTTTTGGGGCTTTCCAAAAGACCGCTAAAACGCAAATACATCTAATCTTCGACGATGGAGCATTTTTCCGCAATCTGGCCGCCCAAACTATATTGCAAAAATTAGTCATCACCGGGGATCGAACTCGGGACCATTTCTTCACCAATGTTTTGACATTCCTGGAGGCGTTCAGGAAAAATGGATTATGGTTCTGTGTTCCTCGTATGAGCCCCTACAACATGCAGAAAACCATTTCGAAAAAGCGCTCCATGTCCTGAAAGACCTTCCTTGTAAGATGAAAAAAAGGTCGAAAAATCCAACTGAAAATTTCCATCCCACGTTTTTACACTTTTCTGGGTAAAAAAAGGCTTGACATGAAGTGTTTCCAATCGCCTTTTTCGCTTTTTCTCACTCCTTTCTACCCAACAAAAACGCACGAATGCCTCTGAGCAGAAACCCGTCACAATAAGGATGGATTGCACCCGATAGCTAGGCGATTGGGCGATCAGGCGGCCTAGGCGTGTTCAGTCTGGCATGAGCATCACGCCTTTGGCACGCTTCCCAGGGAGCCATGTCGCCTACCCCTCACGGCCTACCGTTTTTCGACACGATGGGCAGCCCGAAGAAAGCGTCGATTACCGATGTCCCTGCCGCATCCACCGGTACACTGGCCGCATCGCATCGCGACGGCGATTTCGGCAAGTAACTAACCTCCTCAAGATATGCTCACGAACCTGATCGCCTCCGTCCGCTTTCCAAGGCAGAAACCTAAAAAATGGACCGACCGCCTCAGTGTTCCTGCTGGCATCCTTCACTCCTACATGAATGGCCCTGCAGTAATGAGATGGAAAAGGCTCGCCGCATAAGAAACACACACCACCACTTCTCTCCTCGTTGAAGAGAGCGCAGAGAAAACGAAATAGTGGGAGGCGAGCGCGCTTAAGCGCGTCAATGCTTCGCGCATTGTACGTGACTAGAGCAGGAACATCATGATTCACGCTTCCTTCGAGTGCTCAGCGTGTCCAAACGGCTCTAGTCCATAATCGCCCGCCTGCTGTACCCGCTGTATTTCCTGAACACACAGCGCTTCTGAGCCATCGCCTCCCCCTAATCGCTCAACAGCCTGTATCGTTAATTCTGAAACAATACGTTCCGCCTCTTAGAGCATCAACAGAATGGTCTTGGCCTTTTAATCGTGCTGAATTGAGCCGTAAAATAAGGAGTACTGGCTGCAAATCAAGGTCAACTGCAATGGATCTGTTGCGAAAGTGTAACCGCACACAGATCGAATTCACTAACTAAAAGATCTCCCCGCTCAACGTGGGCCAACTAGCCGACGCCACACTCGTGGTCCGTAGATCGAATCCTGCCCTATTCAACCAGAGTTCAGTACTTATCGAGATTGGAGATTGCTTCTACACCCAAGTGGGAGTATATGCGTTGGTTCAGCTCGGGCTGGTCAACGTTATTAAGTATTAAGCCGGATCCAACTTCAGGATTTCATCACTTCGAAAAAATGTATATTGTGGAATCTTGTGAGCTGGCCCCGAATTCTTCAGGCACGGGATTCAACAAGGATCTGCGCTGTTGTAACGTCACGTGGCAGCATGTTTGCTTTCGATATCATTTATCTAGATGGATTGAGTGAATTTCTGGGATTCCTGGAACGCTTAAGAATCCCCTTTTATCTATCTATCATCGGTTTTTCCGGAAGATGAGCGAATTTCGCCAACGTCAGACGAAAACATTAAAAGGAAAACTATAGGGTGCAAGGATGGAAAATGAAGTGCTATAGGCGAGAAAAAAGACGTACAAACTTGGAAAAGTACTCAAAAATGAAAGGGCAACCATTTTTCTCTCGGAAGCCTCTAACGGGCCGGCAGGAAGTGGTCCTTTACAGCAGGCGCACTTCGAGATCTTTTGAAGAAACTGCCGATGGGCTCTAATTTTTGAGAGTAGCATTCTTATTTTCTACCTTCTTTCGTGCTATTCAAATACCTAGCACTTATTCTATAAAATGGTTTTCTTCTAGCTAAGAAAAACAGCACCGACCGGCAAAAACCAAGGTGTGAAGGAAAGGCTGCCGATTGATGGCTCACAGTAAACAATTTCAAGAAAATAAACAAAGTCGAGTCAGCCTCGCTGTATCCTTCTGAAGTGAGAAAGAAGACATGTGATACTCACCACGGAGCTTGATCGTCGGCTCCTCATCGGTTGGACAGCGTTCGATGAGCGATTCATAATAAGAGAATCGCTTGCGAAACCATGCCATCTCAACTCACTTAGACATTTCTAGAAAAGCTTACACTATCCAAGTAGTAGCGGAATTTCATACGGCAACGAATCAGAGGACAAAGGTCAGAGCGAGAAGAAACAGTGGTGAACCGTGAAAGCTGCCAAATTCATGGCGCTATTGTTTACTGCGTTTGGTAGTTTTTGTTGCATGCAACTGAGCCACAACAAGATTTTATGTAGAAGAACTGAGGGAATGGTAAATGCGTAAAAATATAGAAAATATAAAAATTCAAATGAATATTAAGTAGTAAAAATTATAGTAAAAATACAAAAAAACTGGAGGGATTATCGTGAGATGGCAAAAATTACATTCCTCAGCCTCTCGTAACAATAGTGACCCAAAACCTTCCATCAATGATGCGGATAATTTAGGAAAATCAGGGGTTAGTGCAGAACTACTGGATCAAAAACTGTCGGCGCCGATGTCGTTGTTATAGCCCTACTTTTTCCCAGTTATTCTTGAACAAAGAAGGAGGAGGAGAGCGAGCAATTTGGAATCTGGAACAGGAAGCATGCAGAAGTGTAGACGGATACCCAATAAAGGTGGACGAAAATGTGCCACCAGCGTCTGTAGTAAGTACTTGGAATTAAAGGTCCGAGCGCTCATGAGCTTCAGGGCTAAAGATGACCAATACGGTTGAATGATCATCAGCACCAATACACAGCTAGAAATAGAAGCTAATCAGGACAAAGCTAATAAAAAGGGTTAAATTCGGAAGTCGCTAGAGTCCTACCATAGTTCTCACCTTATGAACCTGACCAAAGGAATCATCTAGCCAGGCCCGCTGCTTGATCAGGTATTGTCTGTAGCAAAAAATTGGCGTGAAAAGTGATTAAACTCAAGGCATAATCAGTCTTGCGGACCATTGCAGAGTTTATCACCAGTCCAGCATTTCTCACAATCCTGCGGAGATACGGATGCAGGGCGCATACCAGAAAGGCAAAGCATTGCTCACTATCAATCTTCTTATAATTTTCAGAAGGTGAGGTGCCATAGAAAGTGAAACATTCGTCTTGTAAGGCTTGCACTAGAGAAAATATGCACGCAGAGAAGGCAGAAACTCTGAAGAACTGACGAAAAGGGCCGAAGGACAACGGACCAAAATTGTGGAAACTGCTGAATAATAATGAAGGGTGCCACAAAGACAGGCCGCTCGCGCTTTACTGATTTTGTGCTTTAGTAATTAGCTCAGAATATTTTAGCACTGAACAGTGCACCTTTATTGAAAGTTAGACACTAACGGTGGCCACTACATAAATAAAAACGAAGAGTAGGTAAAAGCCATTATTAGCTCAACTAATTAAACTGACTCTCACGCAGAGGTATGGAAAAAATGAGGTTCCCGAATCGTTCAATTCCCAATCCACGAAAACACCTGGAAGAAAACCCAACCGGCATGAGGTTAGGAATCGAGGTGTTCCGTAACTCAGAATGGCTCAACACCATATATGCCAACTCTGATGGGACAGGGATGCATGGCTTACACCCGAATATCTTGTCATGATCCAGAAATTTTTCTATAAAATTATAGCTAACGAGGATCCCGCATTCAAACTGGTGCCCTATAATTACTTAGATTTTTTGTTCAAATATTTTATTAATTTATGGGTGCATTTGACGCGCATGAACTCGACCAGGCCCTGAAAAAACACTATGTGTAGTTAGTGGAGAGGACGACAATCTACTAACAAAACTATACATGGCAGAAGTGGAGGATTTAGCGCGTACTCCCATCCCGCAACCAGAGGTAGAACAGGAATGACCATAGCAAGCTTAGCCTGTGAAGAAACAGCAACCCTCTCGAAGTCCGAGCTTCTACAAATGAGATTCCGAGACTTATACCTGCTCTCATTGGCAATGGTACCCTCAGTGCCACGACAGGGCTCCTAGGAACTTGCCTGAACTCAGAGACACAAGGACACCGAAAGCTCACAGGGAATAGGCAAGATAGGTAAAAGCAAGACGCCAATCATCGTGAATTCCAGGGAGGAAATACGGTCAACTTCAAAAGAATGGATGTGAAGATCGCAGACTAGCTGGAAATATAGTTTTCCGAAGTATACGGATTTGAAGGGATATATTGCTAGCAAACCAATTAGCCCACTGCGGTATCCTGGTCGTTCTGACCGCAGCCAGCTGTGGCTAACGACAATATATATGTATGGCAACCACCTTCATATGCCATGGTAATGTGGCCATTAATTTCCGACTCAGCGACACTATACTACGTAACTGCGTGATGGATTTTCACGTCCATTTCGCTTTCTCTATTTGGTAGCACCTCCCTCGCCCGTCTATCTGCCTAGTCAGACCGAAAAGTACATTTGATTTAAGAAAACGGTAATATGTTGGAAACGCAGCATAAAAATTCTTCTCACAAATGGAAAGATTCTGCGAAGGTTTAAAAAAACTTGAAATTTTCCTTAGTTTTGGTGAGTTTCGCCATTCTTTGGTTAGATACTATCACTCGATGGCTGTGGGTTTCAAGATGACGGTGTATTATCAACACGCAAAGCCGGGGACGAGAGGAGGGGGAGGTCGTTAGTTAAGCCACGAAGTTGACCCTGCTCGGGTTTATGGAATGGCAGCTAGAGCTGCCGGGTGTCACACTTTCTTTACCATAGAAGGTTCCAAGTTCATGAAACTTTGAAATGAAATTTAGATAAATCAATAAAGGTTGAGACGATGGTTACAACTGTTGAAGACTAGAACTGCTACGTGGATCTGTGAAGGAAGTTGTTAGCGATCAAAGCACAGGTTCGGTTTCCCGTCGTCACAAAATTTTGCATTTTAAGGAAGCTCTTCCAGGTTGGCGCCAAATGGCGTCTGCGGCTAGAATAGATCTTAGCTTTGCCAGAGCCATCACAAAGCGTTGCGAGAATTGCGAAAAGGCGAGTTCTGTCAGATCTCATTATACCGACGCTGCATTAGCAGCCAACTATAATCGCTCACAATTTCCTAGGCAAGCTCCCGTAGTAGTTTTGCTTTCCATATTTGTAACCGACATTCTGGGCTCTATTGATTTCCCTATGTCTCGATTCAAAGGAAATTTGGAACATTTTTCTGAGAAGACCACATCTGATCTGATCTGAATGAGTAATCTTATCTACTTGTGTGGCGGCAACAGTTATTAAACCTGCTTAGGATGCATTGGACGCATTGGACGCATCCAGGCTTAAAGGACGAATTCACGATGAAAAAGCAACCCATTTCAAATTAACCTAGGGATGGTGAGTGGTACACGAAAGAAGGAAGAACCATGAGAAACGGCCCAGAACCCGAGAAATGGGACCCCTTCCTTGCCCGTTGATTCGAGCATTGATGCGACTCTCATCGCTGTGCCCTCTTCAACACTACGCTCTCTCAGCTATCTAATCACTCGCCACGTATTGAACTACGGCGAGTGATCAGATGATCGGTGGGCGGAGATCGCCGGACCCGCCAGCTTTGAGGCATGATAGGTCGCCGAGGTCAAATTTTTCCATGCGAATTGCGCGTCAGTTCGCACCCTCAGGAGGTCCGTGGGTCCCTCAACTAGGTCAGTTTCCCTTTCTTCGACCTTCATTCTAATCGTGAATTCCTCCTTTAAGTCAAGAAACAACTTTTAAAGTAATCTGTGAATAAAGTGATTATACAGACGAAAACTTCCTCGAAGCTGCCCAATTGACAGATGCATGGCCTACTCCAAATGCCTCAATCAATACCAACGTCGAGCTGATATTTGTTTTTGGGAAGCATTTAGTTCGAAACCGAGCCAGCTAGACGCTGTCGCTTTTAAGCGGTTCGCGGGCGCGAACATTTTTTAAACTAAAGCTTTTTTTTAGCTCGCGGTAATAAAATGATGAGCTCCTAGCAATATAAACAGTTATTTCGAATAAACAAGTAGAAAACTGGGATGCATCTCTGCGGACTTCAAAAAAAAAGAAAATAGAAAGCAGCTGTTTGGGCATAAAAACGGCTGGCTGATCCAAACTGGCAAAAAGTGAAACCTGTGACGTTTGAGAAGTGAAATCATTTTCCTCATGCACACCACCTTAGAAGGCGATCAGACAACGGAGCAAAGTTCGATTAAGCGAAAAATCGTAAGCCAAACAGAAAAATGCGACGTCGGGCTTTTTGTCGGGTTCACACGCGGCGACCGCGTTAAGCTAGTGACTAAGTGAATGAATCAGATAACGAACGGTATAGCCGAAGAGCGAAGACGATCCGTCAGACACAACACCATCGAGACAGCGTTACGCGGTTTCAGGAAAGACCTTTGACATTCACCGGATTAAAGATTAAATCAAAGCGCTCACAGGTCCGCTTAGAGGATGTACTTTGGCTGGTCAAGTTCATCCTTGGAAAAAACGAGCACAGCTGTCAGATGAGATATGATAATGTTCAGAGAAAGGAGTATCGACGAGGATGTCCAGTATTTGTAAGAAATCCTCAGCCTCGTACAACTCAAAATATAGTATGCTTCTTATATGGATAAGAAGGGCCTTAGGGAAGAACCCCGAGTCCAAGGCTTCTTGTTTACGGTTCTTTCAATTCATAAAACGGCAGCCATAAGGGAGCCATCACCTTCTGCTTTTTGTGAACAAGTTCAGCACTCTTTCACTAGGAGTCCTAGAAAAAGGAAAATAAACAGTGTTGACGAAAAATTGCACAAAAGTGGTGCAGACGGAAGCTGCCAGTTCTCAAAAGGAAAATCACAATGTTTCTGCCGTAGATACATCTTGTCCCAGAATGGGCCATGCATTCAGTTCCCACTGAAATTTTAATGGCCCTGCACAGCGACGTGGCGGTTCAGCCACGCGCAAGTCAATGTCTCATACTTGCAGACCGTACAAGTACCAGTCAGGGTAAGCTAAGGTCGAGGATTCGTCGATGGAGAGTCAATGTCTTCGTGAGGATAGGCATATTTAACGGCTACTGTGAGCGGCCTTATGAGTAGACTGTGCAATTAGAGGGGGGGGAGAGGAAGTGGGTAGGTGGGTGGACTTACGCCTTACAGTATAATGTTTCCTATACCATTAGCTACCCCTACATCGGACCGTTCTTTCCTAAGTCGCCCTCAGGCTCTCGATGCCCTTATGAGGTTCTAGGCCAGAGTTAGAGCTGTGTCCCGTGGTTCAAGTTCTGTGGCAACTAATGGAACCATCGACCAGGCAGAGGTTGGGAGGTGGAAGAAGGGGTCCTATTGAGACATTAAGGTAGGGTAATACTTCTGAGGAGGGGTTGGCATTGAGAATGTTCAACATGTGGCTCGCTCATTCATAGTAACCAGTCGCAGAGGGTGGAATGGTTTGGCTAGCCTTGAAAGGATGAGAGCCGGGATATAACTCTCGAAATGGGTATGGCTATCGGCCTTTTGTTACTACATCACGTCAAACTCAAACTGATGGCAAAACAATTCTCAACAAAAGAGAACCATTCACAATTGTCGCTTCAAAATAAAATGGGTTGTTTGGCCTCTGAAATAAATTTGTGGAGCTACAAAAAGAAAAATATTCATAGTTGTCATTATTTATTTATTTATTTATTTATTTATTTCATGAAATGACCTCGAGTTCAGATAAAATAGACGTAATTGCGGTATGGAAATGCTTCGAAAAGGACTCTGATTTCAACTGATAGAAACAGCAGAAGATATTTATGAATTCCCAGCTACATCCGGTTATCTACAACAAGATACTTATCAATGACCATCCAGAGAAAAAAGTTATGGGCAGTCCAGGAAGAACGTCAGTGCCGGATTTCCCGAAGCCCACATTCCAGAGCTGTGTTTCCGTAGCCACAGGTGGCTGATATCTTACAGCTTGATATGTACGGGATACTGAAGAAATCCGCAATTTTTGAGGAATTGTGGGAATCTTAGTCGCAACTGTTATTTATCAGGAATGATGGCGGCCATGTTGTAGTTAAATCACTTATGCGTTGGCTACGTGACCACATGGTTCTGATGATGAGTGGGTGTGAAGCCGCGGGTTGGTGTGGAAGGCACCAGGGGAATGAATAGTAACAACAGCTGTAACTCAGTACAAATAGGCTATTAGAACTAATGGGTTTCTTAAGATGTGACAAGGGAATGTGCTGGCTTTTAGTTAAGCGAGAACCAGTAACAGCACAGTTATTCTGCTCTTGGACAGAGCAAAGGGAAAATAAGATTCATGCAGCGTGTGGTGTGAGCCACGCATTCGAATAGCGTTCAGAAGTGTGAAGGTATATAGGAATGAGATTAGGCCTAGGCTGTGATGAGTTACGGAGGAAAATCAACGCCCAAGTCGATGCTGTCATCATTCCAGATGAGTTTGTAATCAAACAACTGTTTAGAGTTACAAGGCCCGCTGATCCCGGGGAAATCTGATGCGATATTTGAACCCAGGTGCGTACGGGTGGCAAACCGCGCGCTTCTCCCTGAAGAGATCATTAAATTGAGAATATTGAGAACAGGCTCTTCTAGAAGTCACTCAAGAAGCCTTGCAAATTCCCACTCGAACTGAAATCCAGGAGGAGAGTTGGTTCCGAGAAATAAATATGTATAGCAATTTGGGAGCTTCACAGTAGTAGTGTAGTAGTCAAGGAAGATCGCACCTAATGAGCCCTTGTCAACATGATTAGTCCTCCAACATTTATGTGGAGACCAAACCTAATGAGCCCTTATTGCCATGAGTAATCCTTCAACATTTATGTGTGAACTCAAAGGCACCACACACGATTAGATTCAGTGGTACGAATCCTGCCGCGAATGAGGCTGCCGGGTCAGCAATCGAAGAGGCAGTAGACGAGGAAAGATTAAACCCAATGAGCCCTTATTAACAATGAGTATCTCTCCAACATTTACGTGTGAACTTAAAGGCACCACACACGAATTAGGTCCACTCGTATGAATCCTGCCGCGAATGAGGGTGCCGGGCCAGCGGTCGCAGAAGTAGAGCCCCTTAGGCGACTCAGAAGGCGTGATAGGAGCGTGAAAGCTGACGTCGAACAAGACCCTCTTTACCTCAGACTACCACCCATCTCCTCTAACCCCGCCCTTATTACCTCATTCTACCGCCCTTATACCTCATTATATATCTAATTAGGACACCTACTTAATTGTGATCTGTGCCTTTGAAGTTATCTTGCATCCCTTCATGCAGGCATTCAGATCGAAGAAGTGGCGTAACAAGCCAGAGCAGTGGACCACGCAATCGAGCACATATTCGACTGATTCCACGAAACGACCCCTGCTGCGACCAACTCTCCTACAACCCCCAACACCATCATCCCCAGGGGGGTCATCCACGGAATAAGCCATCTCCTCTACTCACGTCCACCAGCATGGCTACCTCAGCAGCATTCAGTTCGACGGAAGGATACATACATGCGAAAATCCTGACACTCCAATCCGCTCCAAAACTTTAATACTGCAAAAAAAATAAAAAAAATAGCAAACCCCTAAAAGTGAACCTCCTCTCACGAGCACGACCCCTTTAACTTCCACGCATAGGATTCCCCCTATGACTGGTCGAGTAGATGGTCGACAATGCTACAAAGTGGGATAGGCGATGAGTAAAGGGAAGCTTTTCAATTTTTTTCTCTACTTAGTAATGGTTGAACTCATCCCTTCTTCGTACTCACTGCTGCTCTCGTTTCATGAAGCACAGTTACGTAACAAAGTTACGTAAGTTACCGTATGTAAAGGATTGTGTGCAGAACGGCCAAGGAAACAGTAACAAGAAAATAAAAAAAGAAGAAATTCAGATGCAAAAAATCAATACGTAAATTCACGCTATTACTGTTTTCCTAGACCAGTCTCCCCAAAATTCCTTCGTGAAATCGGCATCTCAAAAACAAAGGAAAAACACAAACACCAGTGCTGGCAAATGGAAAACGTTTGATAGTCTGAAAGCGAAAAAACTCGATAAGCCTTCTAGAGGAGCTTGTTAATCACCGAAAATCAGTTGTTAGAACGCGCGCCCATTAGCGAGGAGAATCAAGAATCTAGTTAATGGAACAGGATTGATAAGCTTGCATCTGCACATACTGAAGATGGAACCAATTAAAAGCCCAAGTGAGGTTCACGCTCGGCAATCCGATCTCGGTATGGCGTGACGCTTTCGTTGGAATGAAGGGTTCAAATGACTGCACGACCTTTTCGTCCTCGCTGAAAATGCTATAAATCTGATAAAGGGGTCTTTATTTCACACCTC